GGCAGGCAGGAGGGGATCTGAACAAACCCCCCCCCTCTCCCACACACACATACACACACACACACATACACACACACACACACACACACACACAGCCCATCAGAAAGCTTCCCCCTCAAAAAAGAATGTGATCTCTGCGAGACTGTCCCGCCGGACCTGTTATGATGCACTATGTGTCATGTCGACAGTAACCTCTGCATGCGCCCCCCTCCCCCTCCAAAAACATGTTTAAGTTGACGTTACATAATCTGGAAATCCCAGAGGAGTATAAGAAAGCTCACGGTAGCTCCTTTTGTCTCTGCAGTGACTCCCATGATGGGCACTCACATCCCCATGAACGCTGACATGAGTTCACTGAGCCCCACACATGCACTGCAGCCACAGCTACCCCTGGTGCCTTCCTCCCACTGTACCCCCCCTCCTCCATACCCCATGGACAGCAGCATCTCCAGGTACCTCATTAACCACGGTGGAAAACATCAACCTTTTTTTTTTTTTTTCATTTTGAAAATTGTAGATTTACTTTCAAACATATGGAGGCCCAACGTGTTTAATATTAAATAAATAAACACATGAGACATCATAAAATCAATAATTATGTGACTGAATAAAGTAAAATAGAAAAAAAATCATAATAATTCTTAATTTCTTTCTTATTTTTCTAGTAAAACACTTTTTAAATTCCCCTGTTTTTATTTCATAATGGCATTTTTCCTGACAGTGGTGTTGTCACCAGTCACTGTCCTGTTTAGCAACCTCAACAACTGCTGCCAAAATTAGCCGGTTAGCTCCTGTTAGCAGGAGTAACAACAGAGAAGCTGCTGCTGTAAATAAAAAATACACAGTCACAATCACTAACCTCCTTTAATTTAGCTGAAGAAGGCTGCACATGCTACCAAAGTTAGCATGAGTTAACTCAGTGGCGTCTTTGTTCTACACTGTGAGTCCGTCTCTTTGGTTGTTGTAGCCAACAGGAGCTAGCTCGTTAGCTGGCAGTTGTTGAGCTTGCTAAATGAGAGGGGGCGGGCACTGATGACGAGTCTACTGTCATAGACTTGAGGGAAAAATGCCATTATGAAATAAAAACAAACCTTGAAAAGGTTTAATTAATGAAAATTAACCATAAAACGACTACAAGACATTTCATAAGAATGAGTTCTCTATTCTGTTCTTTATATTTTCTTACTTTGATTTATTCATGATTATTTGATATCATTTATTTATTTGATATCAAATGTTCACAAAGTTGGTGATTATTTTCAAGTCATTGAGAGTTATTAAATGAATTCAACAAATATGTGTGTATTTTTTTGAATTTTATTAAATTATTTGCCTCAACTTAAAAGAACACATTTAGAATACATGTAGTAATAAAGAATAATGCAGTATCCCAGAATTAGTTCCCATGTTATGCTCAAAAGTAACTTTCTCCATGTAATCTTAAATCTATGATAAGTTTTGCTTTATATGCTAAATATTTAGACACCAGAGGATTTCTTTATGTTTCCAGTAAAACTTTGTTCAGTATTAAATCACATCTTAAAAGTCAAATGTAGAATTTGTTGATAAGTGCGGAGACCCAGTGCCAGTATGTGTTGTAAAATATATAATATGAACATTAATGAGATGAACAGGAGTCTGGTAGTTCCACCTGTAAACCTGGTCTCCTCTGTTCCTCCCTCAGCTTCCTTATACGGCTGGGCTGCTCAGGCTGCTTGGACTACTTCACAGCACAGGGCCTAACCAACATCTACCAGATTGAGAACTATAACATGGAGGTGAGCCCTTGCCTATCCAACTCGAGTCATTTGATGGGTTAGAGAGAAGAGTGGCTCCCCCTGCGAATACTAACGCTCCCCTGTGTAATGACCAATAGGACCTGTCCAGGCTGAAGATCCCTGCAGAGTTCCAGCACATCATCTGGAAGGGCATCATGGAGCACCGTCAGGCCATGGATTTTTCCCCACCTCCCCACATAGTGCGCACCACCAGTGGAGCCTCCAGCGTCAGCGTGGGCGCCTCTGAGGCCCGAGGCGAGCGCGTCATCGACGCCGTACGCTTCACCCTGCGCCAGACCATCTCCTTCCCGCCACGCGACGAGTGGTCCGACTTTTCCTTTGACCTGGATTCTCGCCGCAACAAACAGCAGCGCATCAAGGAGGAGGGAGAGTAAGACGACCTCTGTCTTGTTCTCAATGTTGCCATTTCCCATTTCATGCCTGCCATTGGAACATTTCATTCGAAAACCTGGTATTAGTGCGAATACTGCTGAGAACAAAATACATATTCACATAGAAATGCACTTATTTTCATTGTTGTCTGGTTCTCATTATCGCAGAGAAATGAATGGTGTTGGGCAAAGGTGCATTTTATTATGTTCTAATTTCTTGAGAGCACTTAAGAAATGCTGAGGATTTCAAGATTGCTTTAAGGGTTTTGTTAAGTGTTCATGATGCATTCCCATGTTAAAGCATGACTGGAAACAAAACTTGCATTAAAGGGCTTATTAGAGCTTGTATTTCTACTATGGGCCATAGCAAACATGTATTTTAGTTTGTAATACTTCTAAGTTTTCACCTTTATGGTTGTACAAGTTAGTCAATGGTTTTTCATTTGTGGCGTAAGTCAGCATTGATTGTATACATTTCAAACATTTCCTGTCAGAAGTATTATGTCAGTTGATGGGCAATTTGTTTTCTGCTGTAACTTCTATATTTTTCTTTTTTTTTTTTTTTTTAATGTCTGTTGTGAGACCAATGCATCAACTTTTTGTGTCAGGTTGTGAAGTATTTGGCTGAAGTGACAGATGTTCACTCATTTGACGTAGCCATATATAGACCTAATGCTCTTTACCCAGTGTTTTACAGCACAGAGATATAATGACTGATGTTTTGTTTATTTTTTGGTCTTTTTTTTGTTCTTTTACTGCTGTGCGAAAGTGGTTGATTGCATTATAAGAGCAGGTTTTAGCTCATGCAGTGGATGCCTAGCACAAGTATTTTTTTTTTAATTCATGAACCATGTTTTGGTAGAGGTTTATTTCATTTGATAACTGGCCAAAACCTATGATATAAATGTGTATAAATTTGTATAGTTCTTTTTGTTTTGAAAGTCTCCCTAAAGAAAATGCATGATTTTCATCATGGAACAAATCGTACTGATGTGAATATTGCCTGGTGCTGCACCAAAGAGATCAATGTTTGTATTAATTCAGTTCAAACAGTATGTGTGTATTGTGCATTATCCGTAGCCCACTCTCCGTAGTCCTCATTGTTAGAAAGCAGAAACATTTGCATTTTCATATTTTTGTACAATGTGTTGTAAATATGTTGCAATATACCAAGGGTATTTTGATATAAATTTGAAATAAATATCCATACTTGCTGTATTGCATGTTAATGCTCCTTTGTGTCAAGTTATTAAGAGTGTGGCTTCATTGAAATATTAACTCGTTTTATTTTACAAACACTGAGGTCGAACTGGTGAAACAGCCACAGACAACAAAACCCTGCATTTCATTACAGAGATTACTGACAGACCTAATAACAAGTAAGAAATAATCACAGTGGGTTCATGCATGAAGTATAATTCTTCTGCAGTTGTTCACGTTTGTATAATGAAAAATGCCAGTTTAAGGGGTATTGCCTAATTTCATTGTCCTGTTTGTGCTGAGTGTAAATGTATGTTGATGTTTGTGAGCTCGTTCTTCATTAGCCGATGCTGCATAAACACTGTTAACGCTTTGTGTGTGTTAATTTCCCACTGAATGAAGATGTGCGATTCAATTCAGCGCACCAAACCGTCAGTTTGTCCCATTATCCAACTTAGACAATAAAAAATTGAACAAGGAGGTTGAGAGCCGGAAACAGAAGCAGCTCGTCTTCAAAGTAAAGGTTGCGCGTTTTGAACAAACGTGCTGGTTGCAGCAGTTAATTTAAGGAGAGCTAAGCTAAATAAATAAATAAATAAACAAACTGTCTAAAATTATTAACATAATTCATAACTGTTATCGGTGTTTAACTGCTAGCCCATAACTGATCGGGAATACATTTTCAATGAACACTGGAATTATTATAGAGTCTTACGATTCATGTATGTAACTATTCATCAATTTATTAATTTGATTAAGGTTACTTAATCTGTTGGGTGAACATTAAAGGCTGTGTATATATATATATATATATATATATATATATATGTATACAGCGCTCGTATATATATATATATATATACACATATATACACACACACACACACACACACACACACACACACACACACACACTGCGGTGTGCAGGTTACCGGTGGAGAGAAAGACAGTTATACAACAGTTAGTTCCGACAACAAGTAATTTGATTGGACGAGAGGCATTCCATGAGTATATAGAGTACAAGAGCACTGGGACTTTTCACTACATGTATCACTCCGCTTCACAGGTGTGCCAATCAGCGTTACATTAACGGTCGTCATCAACGTTAGATTGTGACAAACTTTGCAAAAATGAAAATATTTCCAGAAATAACGTTTGAATTAAATGATGTCTGCTCGTCAGAAGAGGATGAAGGTAAGAAACCTGGATACTTCAGCGCACAACTGAGGTAACGTGTAGAGAAAGGTCAGCTAGTGTGCACTAGGTTTAGGAAAATGTAAATGCGTTGCTTAGCAACAGTCCAGTTGCGTAACAATTTGTGTCTGCGTTGCCAAATAAATGATAAAATAAACAAACAAATCATAATCCGTTGTTGCTTATTTAACTAATATGGCGGTCGTACAACTGTTGTAGAAAAGCAGCTTCACACGAGACGGAGTGATGTACTGAATAGCAGTTGTACTCACTATCTCAGGACCGAATCACAGCCGTGCTGATTTTCAGTACATCATCACTTCCTCTCGTGTGATGTCCCTTAAATATAAAATATCTAGTGCAAAGGAAAGTTCCTGCAAACACAAAACGTGACGGTGACAACAACAGAGAACAAATAATTAATGTAGGCATTTTTTTCTTTTATTTGCTGATCCTTCAAGCTGACACTAGGGGGCGTAAATGAGCCCACAGCCGTGATGACTGAGGCATCGGACGTTTGCTACAGTGAAGTCTCTTACAGGCCGGAGACGTGACGAGATGAAACATGTTGACTCTTCCTTCTACCTTTATTTCTCCTGAGCACCAAATTTAACAGACGTGTAACTTATCAGTTATTCTTGTTACTGTAGGCCGCTAATGTATATCTAGGCTATTTACACACAACATAGAAATGTGAGTGTGTGCGTGCACACACAAACACACACACACACACACACTCACACTCACACACAGCTCTGGGCTGAAGAGACAGTAAATACTCATTCACTTACATTATGTACATTTTCAGAAAAATAAGCATCTTTTTACATTCTGTTACATTTTATACAGACTGAGAGAAACAACGTGATCAGTCTGCGTGGGAGGTTATTCGACTTCGGCCACGTGAGCCACCTCCACCTCCATGGTCTGGATCACCTCGGGCGCTTCCTCCAGTTTCCCGCCTGTGAGGGCCTGCTGGGCCAGGACGTAGTTCACCACCTGCATGATGCCCTGATCTGAGAGCGTGGCCACGGAGCCGTCGGTCACAGCCTGCACAGCCTGCACGGCCTCCACAGCCTCCACCGTCTCCTCCGTGATCAGCACCGTCTCTATCTCCTCTGAGGGCGGCTGCTGGGCGGGGCGGAGCTCAGGAGGCAGGTCGGACGCCAGGATGCTGACGGCGTGCTCCACCTGGGTGCCCTGGTTGTGGAACTGGAGGGTGTCTTTCTCCAGCATGATCTTGCCGGGGAGGTTGTCGCTGTGGTACTTGGCCATGTGTTTACGCAGAGTGCGTGCATCGATGTGGGCCTCCTGGCACATGGGGCACACGTACGGCCGCTCCCCCGTGTGCGTGCGGACGTGGCGCTTGAGAGAGCGGGCGTCGGCCCAGGCAACGCCACAAGTCAGACACTCAAATGGCTTCACTCCTGAAGAGAGGGGACGAAAAAAAAACCATCAGCACCGTAAAAACAAAGTCATATGAACGATCCTCTCACACACACACACACACACACACACACACACACACACAAAGTCAGACTCTCACCCTGGTGGTTGTTGATGTGGCGTCGATACTCTCGGAGCTGAGTGAACTTCCTGCCACACTGCTCACACTCCCTCTCCAGGTTCTGCTTGACTCGGCCTTTCTTCCCGTGCGTGGCCTTTTTAACGTGTCTCCTGAACAGAGCCTTCTCAAAGAACTCCTTCCCGCACACGTTACACCTGAGCAAGACACATCCACACGTTTAACATGCCGCCGTGTTGACGCCAGCAGAATGTGGTACGTCAGGACTGAGAGACTTACTTAAAGGGCTCGGCCACGCTGTGGGACTTGACGTGGGAGTACCAGTCCTTCTTCCAGCTGTAGCACTTCCCACACACCTGGCACTGGAAGGGCTTCAGGCCCATGTGTTTATTCATGTGCTGCTGGAGATCTTTTGCTTCATAGAACCTCTTATCGCAGCTGCAGGAGGGATGAAGTGGAGTGAGTAAAACATATTTAAAGCTCAGCTCGGTTCCTGTGAAGACTGAGCGGTTACTCACTGAGCGCAGGCGTATGGACGGACGTCGGGTTTGGGCTGGTGCTTCTTCAGGTGTTTGCTCAGAGCCGAGGCTCGATGGAAAGTTGCTCCACACGTGTTGCAGAGGTACTTTGATTCACCTGTGCATGTAGTTTATGGTGAACAGGGAAAACAGCTTCATGTTATTGGTTTAATTTATGCTCCTATCTGAGCCGTTCGCTTGGAATTTAAAGGCTCAGTTCACGTAAATTATATAAAAACGTTCATCACTTCAGCGTTAAAGTTCAGTCTTGGAAAAAAACAAAAAAGCAGGAGAACAGTAGTTACTCTTAAGGACAAAGGCATTGTTGCACTTTCAAGCTTTTGTTTTTACTTTGAAAGTATCATCAGGAGCAAATAAACCTTTGTCAAGGTCCAGACACCAGCTTTATCTCACAGCGTTGAGTTATGTTTCATGAGAACAAAGTGAAATGATTCACAGAAGAAATGTACTTTGGTTGAAGGATCCAGAAAAAAAAAAAAGCTACTAAAGTGACTGTGACGATTATTTTTGCTTTCATCCAGCCGTGTAAAGAGTTTCAGCTTCATCTGTTTTCAGATCACGAGCTCTGAACTTCTTCCACGATACAAAGGAGAGGGATGGAAGTTTTTTTTTTTTAAATGGTCACAGCTTTGAAATGTAACGTCTCTCTGCAGAAGCTGTTGCTCTGGATAAGTGACGGCACATTTCCTGCTGAAAGTTTCATGTCGTTCGTTTGAATGCTGTGAGCAAAACAAACATATTCCAATTCACCTCCACTGTGCTGGAAATCTCAAAGCTCCAGACAAATAAAAACCAAAACTACCTTCTCGTCGAGATCCTACATGAAAAATGTGTGGAACAATAACATTCATGTGTTTCTCTGCCTCAGACTCTGGGAACTTCTGCCGTTAAAATAACAGTCATTAATATCCCTAAATAATATTCCTCTTTGAAATCAGGAAAGAGAAATTTTTACAACTTGACCTACAAGAACAGACATATTATTAAACCACCAGCCAATCAGAAACGAGAACTTTCAGTGGCGTTGGTGTAACTGTTTGCTAATGTGTGAGAACAGTGTGTACGGACCTGTGTGGAGGCTGGTGTGCTCCTCCATGCTCCTCTTGCTCACGAACGACTTCTTACAGAACTCGCACTGGAACTGTTTGGTGACGTCGTGCAGCGCCCGGTGCATCTTCAGGCTGTGCTTGTGGGCGAACGTCTTGCCGCAGACCTTACAGGAGTGAGGACGCACGCCCGTGTGATTCAGCATGTGGATCCGCAGGGAGTACAGCTTCGGTAAGGTCTTCCCGCAGATGTCGCACACGAATTCTCTCTTGGTGTGAGGCAATGAAGTCTTGTCATCCAAACTGCTGTGCACCTTCCCCTCGGAGCCCTGCTCGACCGAGGATTTGGCGATGGGCGCTCGCTGGCTGCTGAGCTGCTTGTGTCGGGCCAGGTGGGCGCGGAGCGAGGTGGCGTACTGGAACTCCTTACTACACAGCTACGAGGACACAGGAACATCATGGTGAGAACCTGCTGTGAACATTACCAGTGAAACGTGACATGCTGACCAGCACATATACTTACACTGCACTTGTATCCGCGAGCCTTCTCGTGTTTTAGCGTGTGCATGATGAGGGAGTAGCGTCTTTGGAAGGACATGCCGCACTCGGAGCACGTGTGCTCTCCATCCACGGCGCTCTCTGCTGGGGGTTTATCCTGGCTGGTTCCGGTCTCTGGCTCTGCCGCCTTCGTCGCAGCCTCCTCTGCGTTGAGCTCTCCGGCTGCCGTTCCCTCCACGGCGCCGGCCTCTGGTTCAGCTCCAGATTCAGACACAGACGGTCCTTCAACCTGATTCTCCACTGGCTGCTTTGGTGGTCTTCCCCTCTTCCCAGGCCTCGGAGCCAGCTAAAAAGATATTTATCAATTTGAACAATTTTTCACTCTTAACAAAATGTGATGGAAAAATGTCAATTGCAATATAATGATGTACCTTAGGGGTGGTGGCTCGTGGTGGGGTTGAACTTTTCTTCCCCTCCTCTTCCTCCTCCAGCCCCATATGAAGCCGAGCATAACCGCCCTCAGCGATGGAGCGCTGCCGGAGTCGTCTTTTGTTGGGGTCATCTGACATCATCTCGTGCTTGTCTGCCTGACCTTCGTCAGCAGAGGGATCCTCCTCCTCCAGTGGTGCAAACTCCTCTACCTCCACCTCCTTCTTCACCTTGGCTGGACGTCCTCGTTTGCGTTTCTGTGGTGTAGGTGCTGATTCCACCTTCTCCTGAGGCGCTGCTGCTGCTGCTGCTTCAGCGGCAGCTACAGATGCGAGTTTGATGACCTCTGATGACGTCACTTTGTCAGGGTCCACGTTAATAACAAAGGCTCCTGCTTCAGCGACCTGTGGCTGCTCCATCGCCAGGCAGGCTGACACCACAGCGAGGGACTCGCTGGCCCCGGCCTGTCCGCTGTGGGTGACCACAGTCATCGTCTCCCCCTCCATTCCTTCTGCACTGTGTGAGATAAGAGTGACAGTCTCTCCTGGCTCGGCCTGTCCGCTGTGAGCGAGCAGAGCCACGGCTTCATCCTGACCGGCCTCCCCATCATGCACTCTGTCTCCCTCGACAGCGTCAGCAACAACTGTCATCGGCTGCTGGATGAAGGTCTCTTTGGAGGGTTCAACAAAAGCCAAAGGCTCGCCTGTTACAGTAGCCACACCGCTCTGTGTGACCAACGCCCTGCCGTCACTCTGTATGGTCACCATGTACGCAGCAGACTCGTCCTTTGAGCCCTCCTGAGAAGCCGACTGACTGGACACCACGGTGTGCACGTCTCCTCTTTGATACACCGTCAGCTTCTGTTCCTCCACCTGCTTATGCACAGACTCACAAATCTGCAACACCTCTGTCATCAGCAAATGCCGGGCAAGGTTGGCGATATCTGCCATAATGCAGAAATTAAAGGTAAGCATGGAAGTGTAGGCAAAGTCCAGCAGCGGGAGGAAGCTAGCTTTGGTGAAACCTGGAGGGAGAAGACTGAAGGTTAAAACTGAGACAATGAGCAGAGCGTTCAGCAGAGAAATGAACAAACTGACGCTCACCAGAGAGGTCGACCACGGCTTCGTGTGTGGACACAGCTCCCTTCTCAAAGAAGAGCTCGTTGAAGTATTCGCTGCACGCTGCCAACACGGCCTTGTGAGCTCGGTACTCCTCTCCTTCAATCAGCAGCGTGATGTCACAGAAGTGATTGCTGAGACGCTGCTGGTTGAGTTTGTCCAACATGGTTTGGCTGTGTTTGGGCAGGAACTGATTCACCTCGCCCTTGCTGTCCACCTGGAAAGATCGCACACAAGACTCCATCAACAAAACACTCAACTGCAGGTCAGTCAGTATCGCACTGTTGTGGTTGTAAGGACTGAAATGACATTTCTGAGACTCACAAAGACCAGTTCATGCTTGGGCATCGTCTTTGCCAACTTGGATCTCAGATGGGAGGATGAGTCAGTGGAAAACAAACTATCATCTCCCTCCTCTTCCTCTTCTTCCTCTTCTTCCTCATCATTCACATTGGCAGCCGCCTTGCGTCTGCCTGGCCGGGAAAAGAGTCGCGGTCCAGAGCCGTCATCAGCACTGCGCCGGCTCTGACACTGACCACACTCTCTGATGTGGTCTTTCACATTCTTCAGGATACCTGAGGGCGTCAGAGAGGGGACAAATCACTCACTGCCGACAACCAGCCATCCTGTTTCCTGTTTTGAGAGGCTTTTGTGGTGCTGTTGTTTAATTATAATGCATTACATTGGGAAGTTTTTCAAGATTTTGTCCACCCTATTTATATCAATATAGGTAGGCTAAATCTTAGTGGGGCTTTAACTAACAATTATTTCTATTTCGAAATTATTAGTTAGTTAATTATTTTATCTATAAGATATTAGAAAACAGCATAAAATGCCCATCAAAACGCCCCAAAACCCAAGTTAACAAATTGCTTGTTTTGTCTGATTTACACAAACTACAAAGATATTAAATCTACTATCATAGAAGACAAAGAAAACATGAATATATTCACATTTGAGGCGCTGAAACCAGTGGATTTGATTGCTTTAAATGATAATATAATTGCCCTTTGTGCATTTTTCTTCCTGTCAAATTTTTGCTCGGGAACAAAGACCGTTTGAAAAGTGTAAATGGTGCATTCACGTGCAATCATGTAGTTTTCCGATGTTATTTAAATAACAACGTCTCCTCGTCTTTATACGTTCTTAAAATGAATTCTCAATACTGCTCGGATTACAGATGACCACAAAACACTTGAACTAACCACTAGATGGAGACAGAGAGCAGCTGTGCGAGGTGGAGACGGGTGGTGTTCGTGTGTGTTATGTTGCAGACTCATGTTTACATCGGTTCTCCGACTGATTTCGGTGACTGCCTCCACCTAGCCACAATGCCGAGGCTCAGTGTCTTACCTCTCCACCAGTACTTCTGAGAGATGAACTCCCAGGTGAGTTGCTGATTGAGGTGCTCCCCTCCTTCCATAATGTGCGCCTCGCTGATAAGTTCCTTCCTCCGGCCGTCCTGCAGCACCACCTCCAGCTCCGTGAAATCATTCTGCCCCTTCAGTCGACGCTGGTAAAACAAAGTCCCGTTCCTCACGACGTAGCAAGTGGCCGCTTTGCGTATTTTTCTCTTGGTGTTACCGGGCGTCCCCGGCGCATATGGCTCCCGTTCATCAGTCAGATAGCGAATGATGGCCAAGTAGCTTTCTTCACACGACATGTCTCAGCCGACCCGCGTTTTTCACAATTAGGGATTTCTCTCGAAGAGGAAGGTCCTCCTCGGACGTGTAAAATCGAGATACAGATTTTATACGCCGTTCAGGTGGGAGATCACATGAATTAGAAATGCCACAATAACATTTCAAAATGTTTCCAAAGGTGGAACTGCAGTTCGCAACCGTCAGGGTAGACTTGCCCGAACAGACAAAATGGCTGCTGCACAACCGGATATTACGTAAACAATGGCGGAAGCACACACTGATAATTATCCACCACAAGATGGCGCCGCGTCCAAATTTATAACACCACAGTTTACTCATTTCTTCTTTCAGTCCTTTTATTTTTCAGTTATTGATTCATTTAATAGTTATTATTTGAGTTTCACCGTATTACTGACAGTAATGTTTCTCAGTTTTATCCTAACTGATCCAGATAATGACGTATTTTAGTGCCTGGTTGAATTTTTTTAAGTTTTTTAAATTATACAGTACATATATCTTACTGTGGCATTCTACTAGCAGTTAGCAGTAGTCCTTTAATTCACTCTGGGACTGTTGGTTTAGGTTTCAAAGTTGAATAGACACTGTGGCAGGCACATGTTACACAAGTTGCACAAAGAGATGCTGTAGTAGCTAAAGTTAAATTAACTGTGGATGATGCTGTAACAGTAAATCATAGTTGCAATAGTTGAGTAAAAGTGTGAAATTTCTCTTCCAGTAACATGACACAGTGTAATTTTGTCACTTTTTACCTTCACTGAACTGTGAACCCCAGAAATTTGTCATTTCAGTCTTTGCCTCCAGCAGCTGTGCGGTTTGTTTTTCCTCTCTTATGCTGTATCAGTGCACACCCATACTAACTGCATGCTTACACACGTGGTACAAGTTATGATTCAGATGGGTTTAGTAGCTTAACCATCCTGCCAACAGAAGGACATGGAGGTATTTTGCTTTGGGCTTGTCCGAATAGGTTGTTAATTAAATGTCAAACCAAAAGTCATTGACTCTGAGCGCATGCAGTCAGTGAGGAGGCAAGCGGAGCAAGATGGCCATAAACTTAGCTCCTGTGTTACCTATTTAGTCAAGAGCTGTGTTCACTTGAGTTGAAAGTTTTAAGTCAGCAGTTTACATTTCTTACCTCCTCAGCCTGTAATCCACCACATTGATCCTCAAATCCTTAGCTCATATTCTCCTTTTTGTTGTCCAAGTTTAAAATCCAAGGATGATGGAACATTTTCCATTGTTGGCCCCCAGCTGTGGAACACTTTACCTCTCACCAGCAGGTTTTTTCTCACTGTTAGCACTTAAAATCCTGTTCAAGACCCTTTTTTACATTAGTTTGTCAGTCCACACGAACATTTGCTGTTTTAAAATACATTATTGATACTAATACTGTAGTATTACTACCAGTATAAATACTAATTCTAATACTAATAGTAATGTCTGCTTCATTACCATTACACAAGGTTCTTTAATGATTAAAATGGTGAGTAAAATGAGATGAGGTTTTGATTCACTTAATGTATGAAAGTTTTTTTTTTGTGTTATTAGTCGGTATAGAAGCAAATTACTTTAAAAAACACCGTTCAGACTTTATACATAGATATACCATATTACAAACTCCACGTGTTTCCTTTATGTCCCTAAACACATAAAATCAGCTTTTCAGCATAAATGTCTTGACAGACGTGTAGATACTCTGATGAGTCATATATATGTACACATTTCTTAGGTTACCTTCACTTATGGGATAAACATCCCAAGTGTCACTTATCACCTCCTGCCTTCAGATAAAAGTCTTTTCAACCGGTCAGACATTTATAAGAAATGATATAAAAGGCATAAGAAGTTTTTAAGAGAAAATCATAGTTGAGTGTTTTCATACCTACATCTGATGCAGTGATGATGATGATGATGATGATACTTGTCTTCATTGAAACCTGAGAGGAAACTCGTTTTGTTTTCACCCACAGCAAACTTTGCTGCAAAGTCAGAGAGCAGAGATGTGCAGAAAACGATACCTTTGTTGGTGGTGGGGATTTTCCAATACACCGACATGAAACTTGGGTCTTTAAAAGATGGTCCTTCCTACCCACCGCCTATGTCGGGTGAGTACCAACACAGCAGCTTGTCTTTGAGATGTTAGAGAAAATCTCTAGTCATTGTCACCAAGTTCATCCTATCGCCTATGTCTTGTGTATTAGTCCTCCACAAGGCTCCAGCAGCTAATTATATAACCATCCTGAGTCCTAGGACTGCAGCAAATGAGAGTTTAAATCTTGATTTAATTACTGATAATTTTTTCAATTAAGTGATTAATCGTTTAATAACAAGACAATCTACAGCCATGCTAGCAGCTCTGTGAGGCTGCACACAGCAGTGCTTTGAGCTAAATGCTAAGTGTAACATGCTAACATGTTAAAAATGACAATGTTAACATGCAGATGTTTGGCAGGTATAATGTTTACCTTGTTCACCATCTTAGTTTAGCGCGTTAGCGTTGCTCACATTTGCTAATTGTTCCTAAATATAAAGTGCAGAAGAGATTCAAGGTGGAGTCGTTAGTCTTGCAGGTATTAAGTCAGAAATCAAAGCAGCAGAAAAGTTTAAATTATAAAGGCACAAGAGGAAAAGACAGGAGGTCAGAAAAAAGAACCAGAACCAGAGAAATGTCTGGCATCTCTGCTCAGTAAATGAACAACTGATCAGTTATCAGACTTACGGTTGACTGGTTTTCTGTCAGTTAACAAATCGATTAATCAACTACTTGTTCTAGCACTAATTGGCACAATTACAATTAACTTAAAGGACACATGACATTCAGTCAGCTCAGACACCTTCACTGTCTCACAAAAACAGTTTCAAGTTCCTTTTTTAATCACCAATATCAAATGACGGGTGGGAAAATGAATCAGTTCCACTTCTTCCATCTATTAGTCACGCACAGATGAGCTGAAAACAAATTACACTGCCTGCTCTGTTTCTGCTGAAACTCAAAGGACTAATGTGTCTGTGGGTGGCGCTACAGAGTTAGTTTATTCATTTCACCTCCTCACCACTGTGTCACATTCTCACAGAATTACTCTGATCTGGAGGGGGAGGGGGAGACACATCATTTGTTGCTCATCCATGTGTCACATACCAAACTAGCCGTCAAACACCGGTCAGTAATGTGTCTTACAACTGCATCCCAGCGTCCAGAGTTACACTGACTGACCAGTTAAAGTTCAGAACATTATATAAAATAACCTGTTTGGCCTCATTAACGAGAACTTAGCCACTTTTTTTTTGGAGAGGATGTGTTTATTTACTGTTCCTGGAGCTTTAAAGAAATATTCTCAGAGCTCTAGATAATGTGGAAGTAGCCGCCCTTATGCAATCCCTTCTCTGTCTGCTGTCTCAGAATCAGACAGATTTCCACCTGTTGTCATGTCTTGTCAGCCAAAGACTTCAAGCTGCTCTTTTCAGCTGCTTCAGAATCTGCCTTTGTGGCCTCAACTTAAACCTCTGGCCACAAATCTCTGACTCACTGAATAAACTGGTGGCTCAACACAGCACTCAGCTCACCAAGAGTCTGCCTGTAACTGCAGCTTTTCGTTCACCCTCAGTTACAACAAAAGTAAGTCAGAAACTCTTCCCTGCACATGCAAAGAAAAAAGTGTTGGGACTATTTGCTTATTACAGGCCTTTGGTCATTCCTGTCTTGTTTAACTTCCCATACAGAGCTGGTTCCTCTTCCTATGAGGCAGAGATTTAATATGTTTATTCTCAGTTGCTGTTGGCAGGCACCTCAACACATGTTGCTGAGTGTTAACATGAACGTTGGGAAAGAAGTGATTTGCATTCTGTGTCAGAGGACGTTCGGCCATTGCTTAAACTAGCACGTCACAAATCGCTCGAATGTTGAATCTAACCTGGAGTGCCTTTCACATCCAAACAAAGACGCTCTCTGTTTAGTCCCACTGTCACCGTGCAGCCTGAAAGCTGCTCTGCACACTTTGCCACTTCCTCTTGCTGAGGTATCTGGTTCAGCATTGATTTCCTCCTCTCTTGAGGCATTGTTTGGTTTTATCCAGGTCTGTTGGTGCAAAGACAAAAAGCATTCGTGACTCAAGAGAGGAGGGCAGGTGTGTGTTTCAGACAAGTAAAAAAAATTTTAAAAATCAACGCGCTCTTTTGAGTCAATGGTCTTAGGCATGTGCAAATAGGAGGGAAATTCAACGCCCACAGAGTTCAGCTCTACTAAAAGCTTAAAGGAATAGTTTGACAATTACTGGAAATAAGCTTAATCACTTAATCATAAGAAGGTTAATGTCACAGTCACTGTTAGCTTAGCTTTGCATAAAGACTGGGAACAGGGGAGAACCAGGTAATATCTATTCACAGGTGAAAAATAAAACCTTTAAAAGAAATGTTATGACATTTTGGGAACATATCTATTTTAGATTTATTAGAAGACTGATACCACTGTGACGCTAACACCAGCAGCTGGCTAACGTAGCTTAGCATACTGATCTGTGAGGGCTTAGTTTTGTTTGGACCCAAGAGCAGACACGGACACAGGCTGATTTTAGGTGTGAGTTTATTGAGTCTATGGGTAGATAAAGGTATGAGAGGGGCAATGGTGATGGCAGGTAGAGGAGTAGAGGGAATGTCGGAGTCTTGTAGGTGGAGGAATGGAGGGTGTGCATGCGATGCGAGATATAACAGGTTAGCGGGAGGCACAAAGAAACACTCGACCAAGTAAAGCTACCACTGAGCCAACTGAACAATCTGTCAATGAGTGGAAGGAGAGCCGGGGCTCTTGAACTGCAGGTTAATGAGATGATTACTAACAGGTGTGGAGTGGTGCCAGGAGCCAGGTGAATGAAGCCATGCCCACAACACACACACACACACACACACACACACACACACACACACACAGACGAGGGAGGAGGAAACAGAGGAAACGGGGAAAACACAGCAAAACCTGGTAACAAAGGGAACAAAATCCACCTGCGGACACCTGTAAAGCTAACCAGTGTGAGTGGCCAGTGTAAAACGAGAGCCAGGCTAGCTGTTTCCCCTTGTTCCTTGTCTTTATGCTAAGCTAACTTAGCTAGCTGCAAATGGTGGCTTCATATGTGGCCTAACTCCCAGCTAATCCAAAAATAGGCAAACTGCTGTTGCACCAGGCTGTAAACATGT